TGCCGCTACGTAAGTTTAGTATGTGCTCTCCTGAGGTAAAGGTAACTCTTTTTAAATCTTACTGCTCACCTATGTACACTGCTTACCTTTGGAAGAGTTTTAAAAAGTCCAGTTTGCAGAAACTCACTGTGGCCTATAACAACTCCTTGAGGCTGCTGCTGAAGGTTCCTCGGCACAGCAGCGCAAGTGAGATGTTTGCTTACTGTGGTGTTCGATCTTGTTCTGCATCTCTTCGAAATGTTCAGTTCAGATTTATGTGTCGTCTGAGGAACTCTATTAATGTGATTGTTAAGACTCTCGTCAGCCCCGAGTTCTGCTCACTGCTGTTCACCTCCAAATTATGGACTTACTGGAGGTTATGCCTTTATACTGTTCAGCAGCTGTAATGTTCTCTTTGGTTTGTTTTCTTGTATATATTTTTTCTTTGGTTTTTTTTAACTATGGACCGTGTTGTATTGTGTCCTTAATAAAGATTAATAATAATAATAATAATAAATAATAATAATATTCTGCATACATGACTGCAAACACATTGGTGATAAACTACTACTATAGCCATAGCCCCTCCCACCACCACCAACCACTCACACACTCACCAGACACATTCAAGGCAATATCAGTGAAGTTTCTTGCCTAAAGACGCAACAACAGTTTGGTACTTTACAGCCGCAGCCGCCCCACTGTGGCACCTGCTGTTCCAAGAGGTCTCCCATCACAGCACGAACCAGGCCCTGCCCTGCTTAGCTTCAGAGGTCCGACAGGATCTGGCTTTCACACGTATGTATGACCACATGCAGTATGAACCACAAACACATGAAAGTGCCTAATGTTTTGTATAAGTGACAATAACTTCTGCCATTTCCTCAATTCTAACTTTCCTTTGTCTCATATTTAGCACCGTGGCCTTGATTTACAGACTGGAGTTTACAGTTGAAGTTGGATCTATCCCAGAAGCTTTTATTATCGCAACAATGAAAGCAGTTTCTTGGGAGTCCTGATTTATTCCCTTCCCACTGCGCCTTCAGTTAAACGCCGTCTCATGCTTGTTTTTCTGCTGTTCTGTGGTATTGGGATTTTGTGGCGTTCTCAGACAGATGGAGCTCTCTCTCTGTGTGTGTGTGTGTGTGTGTGTGTGCCTGTGTGTGTGTGTGTGCCTGTGTGTGTGTGTGAGCTGTGGGGTCCTGTGTGGGAATGACAGAATAGGGCCATGCTTCCTTGGGTGGTGCACAGGGCAGCAGATCCAGAGGAGAGGGAGAAAGGCCTGCACCTGTGTTCCAGGGACATGCATACATTTACATTATTATACTTATTAGTCACTGACAAATGGGGTACCTGACTTTCAAACGGCAAGAATTAATAACTGTAGTAAAATGTTTCTTACTCTATCGCTCTCAAAACTGTTTGGTTCTTTCACACATTTTCTCATGCATGTATTTTAGGCCTCAGTCACATACAGTATTTAGATCAGCTATTTTACGCATAAAAGTGAAAAAAAGGTTGTTCAAAGAAAAAAAGAAAAAAAACTAACATGCATTATGTACGTAAGGTAAGGTAGTAATAGTAAGGTACCCATCAAACTCCTCCAGATGCAAAACCAAATCACTGTGAAATGGGACCTCACAAATACTTAAGTGCATCAGTTGTGATGCAGATGCTATCCAAACACCTTTTTTCTCCCTTTTCATATTGTTTTTATATGATTTACCAAAGGAATATTTTAGCTGAAATCTGGAATGTTACGGTTTCTGAGCTCGAGGACTTTACTTTACAAAATCAAGCCAATAGCGAGTTGAAGCAAGAGGACTTCCCTAATGGGCTCCATTGAGCTAGCAGGTTAGCATTGAGCTAGCAGGTTAGCATTGAGCTAGCGGGTTAGCATTTTCCATCAATATCAGTGGCGTCCCTGCTCCAAAATGACGTGCGCTGACATGCTTGCAATACCACCTCGGGCCAGTGGGGGTGGACCCGGGATAAGTAAACGGCTTTACAGGATGGTCCAAAAGTCTCTCCTGACCCATCGCCACATTCCAGATGGTGTTGATGCTGAAGGGAGTATTTTTGGACCAGTCTAGTTTAGTTGCTGTGGAATTTTGAAGGCACTCGTTAAATGAATGAGGCCAAAAAAGTGGTGGCACATGAGTTTGAACGGCGGAGATAGGCGTGACTACGATTGTTGATATCTACAGTGTGTGATCAATGTACAGTCTATAGTTTTGACAGCTGCTGCCAGTGTGTAAAGAAGAAGAAGCAACACAGGGCTTTTGTTTTCTTTTGCTTAGAAGTATGTGACGTCTTCTTCAAGTGCATCAGTTTAATATGTACAGACGGCACAGACTTTAAATTCTGCCGCTGTTTTTTTCTCTCTGTAAATGCGGCCTTTATTAACATGACTTTGAACCCTCTCCGTCGGCGCAGGTACAGTGAGCAGCGGTGAACTCTTTTTGTCCTCCCCGTGTTGCCGTCCGTCTCCGCCCCGTGTCCCCTGTTTCCTCTCGGAGCTGTCTCAATCACTCCGCGCCTCTCGCACTCTTGTGGCGGACAAAGACATTTCAATTTCCCCCTGTCTCCTTTGGGTGCAGTCATATTTGCATTTCAAAGACTCGGAGTCCCGGGTCACTCCCAATGGGTGGGACCAGATCATCTCCTTTTCCTCGGCACACTCCCTGCACCTGTCTGCAAGTCTGTGCTGATGAGGAGAGAGCGCAGCCTCCTTCCACTCCACGGACTCTGGACTGAGAATAGATTCACAGAGTTGAGCGTAAATCTATTCTCAACTCTAAATATATATGGTTGTCTCTGTTGTCTATGGTTGCTCTATGGGTGTTTTTGCACAAGCATTTCACTGTTTGCTTTAGTGCAGTTCTCAGGTCTCCGTGTTTGTTACAAGTCTCTGCATGGCCTTGTACCAAAGTATCTGTGGCATTTAGTGGACTGGCCTCTGACTGCGACTCTGAGGAGCACAGGGACTGGCCTCTGACTGCGACTCTGAGGAGCACAGGGACTGGCCTCTGACTGCGACTCTGAGGAGCACAGGGACTGGCCTCTGACTGCGACTCTGAGGAGCACAGGGACTGGCCTCTGACTGCGACTCTGAGGAGCACAGGGGCTGGCCTCTGACTGCGACTCTGAGGAGCACAGGGACTGGCCTCTGACTGCGACTCTGAGGAGCACAGGGACTGGCCTCTGACTGCGACTCTGAGGAGCACAGGGACTGGCCTCTGACTGCGACTCTGAGGAGCACAGGGGCTGGCCTCTGACTGCGACTCTGAGGAGCACAGGGACTGGCCTCTGACTGCAACTCTGAGGAGCACAGGGACTGGCCTCCTGCTGGGACTGAGAAGCACAGGGACTGGTCTCCTGCTGGGACTCTGAGGAGCACAGGGACTGGCCTCCTGCTGGGACTCTGAGGAGCACAGGGACTGGCCTCCTGCTGGGACTCTGAGGAGCACAGGGACTGGCCTCCTGCTAGGCCTCTGAGGAGCACAGGGACTGGCCTCCTGCTGGGACTGAGAAGCACAGGGACTGGCCTCCTGCTGGGACTCTGAGGGGCACAGGGACTGGCCTCCGGCTGGGACTCTGAGAAGCACAGGGACTGGCCTCCTGCTAGGCCTCTGAGGAGCACAGGGACTGGCCTCCTGCTGGGACTGAGAAGCACAGGGACTGGCCTCCTGCTAGGCCTCTGAGGAGCACAGGGACTGGCCTCCTGCTGGGACTGAGAAGCACAGGGACTGGCCTCCTGCTGGGACTCTGAGGGGCACAGGGACTGGCCTCCTGCTGGGACTCTGAGAAGCACAGGGACTGGTCTCCTGCTGGAACTCTGAGGGGCACAGGGACTGGTCTCCTGCTGGGAATCTGAGGAGCACAGGGACTGGTCTCCTGCTGGGAATCTGAGGGGCACAGGGACTGGTCTCCTGCTGGGAATCTGAGGAGCACAGGGACTGGTCTCCTGCTGGGAATCTGAGGGGCACAGGGACTGGTCTCCTGCTGGGAATCTGAGGAGCACAGGGACTGGTCTCCTGCTGGAACTCTGAGGGGCACAGGGACTGGTCTCCTGCTGGGAATCTGAGGAGCACAGGGACTGGCCTCCTGCTGGGAATCTGAGGGGCACAGGGACTGGTCTCCTGCTGGAACTCTGAGGGGCACAGGGACTGGTCTCCTGCTGGGAATCTGAGGGGCACAGGGACTGGTCTCCTGCTGGGAATCTGAGGAGCACAGGGACTGGTCTCCTGCTGGGAATCTGAGGAGCACAGGGACTGGTCTCCTGCTGGAACTCTGAGGGGCACAGGGACTGGTCTCCTGCTGGGAATCTGAGGAGCACAGGGACTGGTCTCCTGTTGGGAATCTGAGGAGCACAAGGACTGTCCTCCTCATGGTTCCCAGAGTCAGGACCATGGGCACGCTTTATTTATGCAGCTAAAATCTTCAGCTAAAAGTCTTTCTGAAAATATTAGACAGGCTTCTACTCTGACACTACAAAACATATTTTGCATTAGTTAACTGTTACTACCTGCTTATCTCACATGAGTCCACGTTACAAACCTGAGCGGCGCCATTACAGAACCAAACAGAGCAAACCCAGAAAACAGCAGAGGGGGTGCCTAAAGAACCACTACACCCATTGGGGACGTTGGTACAGTAGTTAGAGCTTGTGTTTCACAGCAAGATGGGCCTGGGTTCGGACTTTGCATGTTCTCCCCATGTCTGCATCAGTTTCCTCCGGGTGCTCCGGTTTCCCCTACCACTAAAATGTATTGTAATAAGTGAGTGATAGGATGGTGTTTGGTCAGAGACTTTGATGGTCCTGTATGTTCCGGTCTCGCTTCCGTCATCACAGTGTGGAGAGAATGAAACAATATCTGAACTCTGAATGTTGTAGACCGCTTTGAGTGGCCTTGGTCTGTTAAATGTGCTATATAAACAAACAATACCAATTCATTCAAAGGGCAAGAATCCATCCTCCAGAGACAAGTTGAGACCTGTTTGTGTTTACGTGATGCTACATGTGGGGGTGGTGCTACATGTGGGGGTGGTGCTACGTGTGGGGGTGGTGCTACATGTGGGGGGTGGTGCTACATGTGGGGGTGGTGCTACATGTGGGGGTGGCATCTCCGGCCTTTGAGCCTGAAGGTTGTCCAGAGTGAGAACCAAACATGGGGAGGCTGCGTTTCAGATCCATGCAGCTAAGATCTGGAACAATCTCCCTGAAAATGTGAGGGAGGCGTCTACTCTGTCAACGTTCAAATCCCGGTTAAAGACTGTTCTGTTTGCCTGTGCATACAACTGAAGGATTTTATCTCCATTTCTAATGCACTGTTGTCATTTATTTATTTATTTTTTTAAATGTCTTGTGTAATTTTGAAAGTTTTAATGGTTTTAATATTTTGTGTGATTTTAATGTTTTAATTGTGATTCTGGTGTTTGTTTTATGTGATGATTTGTGATGTGGACTGTGAAGCGCTTTGTGTTGCCCTGTGTATGAAAGGCGCTTTACAAATAAACTTTGATTGATTGATTGATTGTTGTGGGTTCGAGCCCACTAGACTTTCTCCACCGACTCCCACTGATGTCTACAGCTGTTGTGTTCATTGCCTAGAATGAGTCTGGTGTGCAGAGGTGTGGACTCGAGTCATGTGACTTGGACTCGAGTCAGACTCGAGTCATGATTTTGATGACTTTAGACTCGACTTGACCAAATATAAAAAGACTTGCAACTCGACTTGGACTTTAACATCAATGACTCTGACTTTCACTTGGACTTGCGCCAATTGACTTGTAAAGACTTGCGTAACCCGGGCCATTTTTACCTTTCTCCGCATCTCTCTTTCTATCTATGCCGTCTCTGAAGAAACAAAGCCTCGCGGTAGTTGTAGCGCTCGCGAGAGAGTTCGAACGTGAGTTCCAGGCAGTTCGCGCAGCAACACTTCCCTAAACAAGCGGACTGCATTCACCGGTGGGTGTGTTGTCTAGGGGAGCTGGAAATGAGCGAGCTGCAGGTATTTATCGCGACCTAACGTCATATTTTGTTCTACAAACCGTAATTGATATGCTTTCACTACAGGCGCCTCATACAATTGAATCGACGCAGTTGTCACACTGTGTGCCGTGTTTTAAAGAGGAACTGGTGAGTCAAACTAGCGCTAGCCTGCGCTGCTCTGTTGGCTCTTTCTTATATTTTTCTGTGTGGGCGCCGAGGCCTATTATTATGAGTATGTTTTTGCTGTGCTCCTCCTGCTAAAGTTTGCATACATTAGATAGTTGTTTTGATTATGTGCACTAAGCTAGATTAATATTTGCACTATTGTTTATGGTGCATTGATATGAGAATCAGTGCTTTGACTGATTGAATTAATTTATATGAGACATTTTATTATGTAATGATATATTGGTAATTATGAGATATTGCTAATGCTGGTCCAGTTGATGGCGAGCTGCCCCAGGTCCAAAGCCTAGACCCCTCATACTACCCCTATTCTACAGTAGGACATTTGGAACAATAACCACTACGGACATTAAACTGATTATATAGATACAGGTCCTAGCCCAATACTCATATTCATATATGCTGCACTTGCTACTTCCCATTAAAAACCCCAAAGATAAAAAGTATGTTGACACGGACTGCTCTGATTTTATGTGTGGTCTGTGCATGTGTAACTGAGCCTGCATCTGGCACAACATCCAATTAGATCACGTAGATAGTTTTGATTTATCAGCAGCCAACCACATGGAACAAACTGTTAGTCCATGGGTCAGAGACCAACCAGAATGCACCAGCAAAATGATTCCTAACATTATTTTGTTTGCCTACAAAAGTACGTGGAGACCAACAAGAAACAAATCGCGGTCAAAAAGACTCGAGAGGACTCGAAAGTCAAACCGTAGGACTTGGGACTGACTTGAGATTTGTTGGCCTTTGACTTGGACTCGACTCGGGACTTGCCTGTCTTGACTCGTGACTTGACTCGGGACTTGAGGGCAATGAATTGAGACTGACTTGTGACTTGCTAAACAATGACTTTGTCCCACCTCTGCTGGTGTGTGTGTGAATGGTTGGTGGTGGTGGGAGGGGCTGATGGCACAGACTGGTTGCCTCGCTTCTGTCAGTGTGCCCCAGGGCAGCTGTGGCTACAGAAGTGGTTTATCACCACCGTGTATGGAGTGATTGAATACTGACGTGAAGTGTCTTATCTGATCCTAAAAAGCGCAGAATAAAACCGATTCATTAGTATTATCGTTATTATTTCTTTGTTTGTGACATTGTTGTTGGTAGATTACTATTGTAGCGGCCAAAACTTGCCCTGTGCAAGGTCCGCTGGATGCAGTGTGTTGGCGTCTAGGACGCGTGTCTCTCACCATCCAAATAGAGCAAAATACTGTGTTCTACAATCCTTTATTGTTGCCAAGTACACAAATATAAAGCTGTGGTAACAAACAACGGTCGAAAGATGTTTGCCTCCACACTACAACACCTGTCTGTCATTAGTGCCCCACTTATATAGGGCATACTATCTAGGTGGCGCCACACAGTGGCAGGAGGCAGCAAAGGAAAACACAGGAAACTGGCTCCAACACACCGGCCCCTTAATTGTGAAAGCCAGGAGCTAAACAATTACAAATTCAAATAAACATGGAGCCATACTTTAACTTAGCAAGTTTGTCACATTGGGAACATATTTTTCAAAAAACACAAAATTTCAATGTCCACATATTCAAAGTCATTGTTCAATACACAGAAAATACATTTGGCATTTAATATCCATCCTGTTATGTTTCATTATTCAAAACTATTTCCAGCGCTTTCTTTTGAAAGCTTTGCGCAACTTTAGCTTAAACATTTTGCTGGCTGAAAGCACATACAGAATCCAAAGACAGTTCACGAGAACAACAAAATCAAAATGAGTGTTTCTTACAAAAGCATTGTTGTGCTTGCTTTTACTACGCCACTGTGGCAGTGGAAAAATCCTGGTGTGGCCTGGTGTGACCATGTCTGGGCCACTGCAGGCCAGCTTCTGCTGCAGCAGGCCTCCCACTACAGGCTGCAAGGCAGTCAATAAGACAAGAACAGCAGAAGTTTCCTGCTCTTCATCCTCTGTACTGTCCATCTTTTTCCACGAGCATGTCTCAGTGTCCAAATCCAATGTCACCGTTCGCTCATGGTCCATAAGGGAAATCTCAAAGTCCTCCTGACGGTCTGGTGAAGATGAACAGTTCACATCCGCCATTTGTGTGGCACTACCGGCCCCTGTTGGCTCAAGCGCATCCACCAAAGTGGGAATGTAAACTGGTGGCTCCCAGTCAAATCCATCCCAGTCATCAGCGGTCCCAGTTGGCTCAAGTGAACCCACCAAAGTGGGTACATAAACTGGTGGCTCCCAGTTAAATCCATCCCAGTCATCATCAGTCCTAGTTTCTTTTATAACTGCAGGGACAGTTGTGGTTGGGACTTGTGTTTGCACCCTAGGCTCTATTGGAAGAGATTTATTTTTATGCCGATGCTTCTTTGAGGCATTCAACACTGCAAGTTTAGCTGTCACTTCAGTCATTTTAGTTTCAAATTCCAGCTCTTCCAATTGTCTCTTAATGGCTAGTTGCTTTGCTTCCAGTTCATATTTCTCTTCCAAAAATGACATTTTAACTAGAAGCGCAGCTTGCTTAGCTTTTATTTTAACCAAAGCTGCAGCAGCTGAAGCTCTCTCTTTTTTGTCAGTTTTGTTCAAATCCCTGGTGCACATTTTTTACAGTATTCCTTTTTACAGTGTCCACCTCACAGTCCATGTACCGCTCCTAAACGTGTAGTCTGTGCGGAATTATGTCGCACACAGAAATCAGAACTGCTCACCACGCGTAGCCTTCTCCAAACGCGGTGCCGAGCTCCTCCGCGGTCCACTCCTCTGCGGTCCGATCCGTGCTGCAGGACAGGACAGTTTGCGCGCCGAGTCTTCCCTCGCCCGCGCTGGTGGTGGAGGACGCCGGTGCTCTCTCCGGTGTTTTTGCCCTTTCCTCCTTCCCGCCGACAGTCCGCCGGTTCGCCGCGCCCCTGTGGCAACGAGTCACCGCCACGGTAGGCGTGGGTCCACTCCTCTCCAGGAAACCGCGCTGTGCCAATCACAGCTGACGCAATCTTCACGCCCAGACGGTACCTGAGGCTATCTTTCGACAATGTAGCGGCCAAAACTTGCCCTGTGCAAGGTCCGCTGGATGCAGTGTGTTGGCGTCTAGGACGCGTGTCTCTCACCATCCAAATAGAGCAAAATACTGTGTTCTACAATCCTTTATTGTTGCCAAGTACACAAATATAAAGCTGTGGTAACAAACAACGGTCGAAAGATGTTTGCCTCCACACTACAACACCTGTCTGTCATTAGTGCCCCACTTATATAGGGCATACTATCTAGGTGGCGCCACACAGTGGCAGGAGGCAGCAAAGGAAAACACAGGAAACTGGCTCCAACACAACTATTACTGTAGCTTAGACAGAGCTAAAACGACTCCAAGGTTGTTTTCGATCCGCTCAGAAAAGATGTGTCTGCAAAGGAAATGTAGATTATGAATGTTTAGAGCAACGATATAGACAGACGAAGGTCAAACAGCGATACACACAAGAGAGACAATGCAATGAGCAATTAGTGTCGTGATTGTTGGGCCTTGGATTTCCATGCACCGTCCGTGGAAATAGACCTAAGAAGTATTTCTAGTTTCTCATGTTGAAGAAAGCTGTACAGCAAATATCCAGGGCACACAACATTCACTTTCAATCCAATGTATTCTTGTATCGCCCTGAATCACAACAGTAGTAATCTCAGAGAGTGGGTCCCGGGCGCTGTTACTACGGCGACCACTGCTCCTGACGTAAGCCTCAGCAGGATCAGGATGGGTCAAATGCAGATAATTACAGTACGAGGAATACCTTTGTCTTTACCTTTGCCTTTCATCTAACCCCTTTTAAAACCGTACATAGATAGTTTGATATTTCACACACAATGTTAACAACGCGGTCAATGACATGCAGTGAAATGTAAGATAAAGACAGAAGCGTGAAAACATGTTAAAGGTTAAGAATACAGTCTGTTCAGGATATAATTATGTACAATAAAAAAGTAGTAATAATTGAAAGAGTGGCAATAGCAGTGCAGGTTTTTCAGTCTTAGTGCATTAGTGACTTAAAGTGATTTATTGTACATTGGTCTCTCCATTTGGACCAATGCAAATGTGTATGTTCTGCGTCTTAACTGTTGATTGTCTGATCTGTGTTGGTGATTTCAATGGTTTTGTGAGATGCTACTGCTTGTGTGATTTGAGGCAATACAAGAATCGTGTTGTATTGTGATGTTTTTGTACAGTCTGCTCCTCCTCTGCTCCTCTAAAGTCCTGTGCAGTGGGAGGGAGGACGTCTACTTTTGTATCTGCCTGTTACATTTTGTACTGTGAAATTGTTGATTTTTTTGATAAGTTTGAAAGACATCATTTAAATTAACAAACAGGACCTGTTCTTGATTCTCTGCATCTTTGATTTTTTAAGCAATATTCAATTCTGTGCAAACTGTAGTACTGTTAAGAATGCAGTCTGTGGAAACCTTCGGCAAAACAACAGCGTGTCGATTGCTCAAAGTTCAAGAGCTCTACATAATATAGGACTTAGTTTCAGCTGAAGTGTGGAGCAGAGCCGTGTCCAGGGCTCGCATTGGGGGTGGTTCTGACGGTTTGTCATGGAGTTATTAGGAACACACTGGAGCTGACGTCTCTATTGTGCAGATGATTGACACTGACTCACTGCGGTCTCTGCAAAGTGCAATTACACGTCTGACAGAAGCACTCACGTCTCACCTCAGAAGTGGACAGCTTTGCTCAGGGAAGTTTAGGGCCAAATCAATGTCTTCATGTTTATGTCGGATTGAACATGGACGCTGATTGGCTATACAATGTTAGTATTATTATTATTGTTTTAAAACGTAATTTATTTTATTTTAGACAAAGTAAGACAGTTGAAAGATTTTTTGTTACATTTTCCCCCTCCATCCCTACCACCCCCACTCTCTGACGTGTCCCGCCGCAGGTTTTCCCCACAGCTACTGCCAGTATTTGTATCCATTTATAAAAACCTGCACACATATATGTACTTTTCTTTTTAATTTGTGAAAAAACCCCAACAAGAAACAAAAACAAAACATCTAATTTTAGCTTTAAATGTTCAGCATAAAAGCATGGTACAAATGATACAAAATCACCTCTAGCTAGGGCTTTAACTCCCCCTGTCTTCTCACAAAATGCACCGGTACGTAACTTTATTTTGTCACATGTTACATTTGTGGTTAAGTGGGAACCGAGTCGAAGGACGAAGCTCTTGATTTGCTGATCTATCAACGTTCCCAGCCTCACTTATGGTCAAAATGAGTTTCCTCCTGAAAGTGGCCCTCATAGATAACTAGAGGAGCTCGGAGTAGAGCCGCTGCTTCTCCACATTGAGAGGAGCTAGTTGAGATGGCTCAGGCAGACCCAGGACAAGCTATTTATTTGTTTTTTTAATTACAGGGACAGTGCATAATACTGTGCATTTCTGTAAATATGCCTGAATTAGCCATTGCTGGAGGGTCTGTCTCTCACGTGGCCTGGGAACGCCTCAAGAATCTGCGTCTTCCTGAAAATGTGAGACAGGCTTCTTATCTGACAATGTTTAAATCTGGGTTAAACACATTTTGTTTATCTGTACAACAACTGAGGGATTTTATATATGTATCTTTTTTGCCTTGATAGCTGGTCATTTTTCATAACACATGTTTACAGCATACAGGACGTTTAACACCCAACACTATATTTACACCTTTACTAACATTGATGGACATTGGTCTATGTGTGTTGGCAAATCGACAGCTTGGTAAGGTCCTCCGAGATAACTACTGTTGTGATTTAGGGCAATAAAATAAATACATTGAATTGAATTGAATAACGATAATTTTAAAGTGCGAAAATGGACGTTGGAAAAGGACGTTTCTCGGTGATTCCATTAACGGGAAAATGCCATTGCGTCTACTGTATAATTTGCCACCGTGTAATTTCTAAGTTGTCTCAAACCGACAGAGAGCGACACATTCTGAGAAACATGACACGTGGCTGTCATTATTTCTGAGTGGGTAACCTTCAAAGAATGTACTGTAGTAAAAACAAATGTCCGTAGGTAAAGGAGGTTTTCTTTCATGACAGCAGGAAACGTCTTCAATCGTTACACTAATTTAAAAAAGGTGGTTGGATGAAGCAGATTCTTATTTGTTCCCAACAATTCAACACAATACACACAATACAATGCTCTTTGGCTGGTTCCGTGCGGCTCTTGGCCTTTCACATGACAAGCGTCAAAAATGCTGCCTTTCATTCCCTATGTAGTTCTGACCCATAGTAAAGGCTGACTCCACTCCACTAGCCGGGCCGCAAAACAATCTTACGTCGGCGAACGTCAATTCTGATTGGTCAGATACGTTGTCAATCACTCTGCAGCTGCCGCCTCAGCTGTTGCAAATATCATGACAAACAACGTTGCCCCGACCCATGACGTCCGTAATTCTCTGTGGGCCCTGGAGTCTACTCAGCTGTTCTCATACTGTCCATCAATTCAAATAGGTTCTGCCAATACAAAAAAACAGTTCAATCTGGAGAGACTACGAGAAACAAGGTGCGTTTGCAAGATTTACTGAATGTTTGCTGCATGGGCTATGTGTTAAGACCAAAGTGAAATCTTTCAAACTACTACTTTGCTCAAAACAGTGAAATGCTCAAAAAGTTATTAAAAAACAAAACAAATATTCATCTGTAAATCAGTAACAGACTTTAGTCCAAGTTACGATTTGATCCAAACAAAGCCAAAGGAAGTTTTTCTTACTTTTACCAAAAACCCACATTTTCTACAAGTCTTGGTCAGAGCTAGTCCAAAGTTCATTAAAACATATTAAAATGATTGAATATGACCTTTTGAACCAAGACCTAACACAGTGGACTGTATTTTATTTAATGATTAAATTAAGAATCCAATATTTTTTTGAAAACATTTGTCAACAGCTCACAGACAAAAACAAACAAAAACATTGAATTCTCCAATATCTTTTTATGTCTCTGAGCGGCCGCTTCTAAAGCCAATCAAATATCATCCCGGGGGCCAACAGAATTCATTCACGGGCCGGATCTGGCTCTCGGGCCCTGACTTTGACACCCAGGCTCTATTGGGACAAGCATAAGGAATTACTTACAGAACAAAAAAAGTTATCATCCTGAGCTTTAACACTCAATGAGACAACAAACTGTGATTCTGACACGACAAACGCCTTTAGAACTGACTTTTTCCCGTTGGTTTGATAAACGTGGCCTTGTTTTGAGCTGGCAGACACGGGGCGCTGGAGAGGAGCAGACACTGGGTTCGTGTCCTTGCCCGGGCGCCCCTCTCCTCGGGCTGCTGGTGTCCGATAGCGGAGAGACCTTGGCTGAGTGGGAGAGCGATAAGCCGGGCCTTCTCCTGGGAACACGGCGTCCTCTCCTCCCCCTCCTCCTCCTCTTCCTCCCCCTCCTCCTCCTCTGCTCTTCTCAGGAGATGAAGGCTTGTGAGCACTGCAGGGAAGTGGCAGATGTTACAAAATCACAACCTGTCAAAATAACACTTTCACTCCAGTTTCTATCAAAAAAAAGAGGTACAAAAAAAAAAAATACAAGCCCAAAATAAACTCTGCAGCAGACGCAGGTGATGGGAGCTGTCGGCTGTAGCCTTGAGAGCGGCGCTGTCTCCCGAGCAGCTGAGAGAGCGATAACCAGGTCAGGACGACCCACGGCCAAAAGACGTCTCATCCACACGACTTTGCCTCTTTCAGCCGGAGCCACAACCAAAGCTCAGACTCAGACTTCAGCTTTTTTATTGTGTTAAATCGATTTGTGCTGTGCCAATACACTTGCTTTGCCTTGAAAGATCTACCAAATAATGCCATGGCTTTTCATTGTAAAGACATGGCTCGGTGGCTGAGTGGTTAGCACTCTCGCTTCTCAGCAAGAAGGTCCTAGATTGGAATCCTGGTCAGAACAGGGCATTTCTGAGTGGAGTTTGCATGTTCTCCCCATGTCTGCGTAAGTTTCCTCCGGGTGCTCCGCTTTCCCCTACCACTAAAAACATGTAGGTCTGACATGTGCCTCCTGAATGACCAATTGTATCGCACTTTTTGACTTTGGTCCGCTAAAAAAAATACAGATGCTTTTCTAAATGTGTGTTTTCTAAATTATAAACTCAATTCAAAGTGCTTCAAATATTAAAAATCACAGTACATTAAAAAGATTTAAAAAAAAACATTTCAAGCTAAGATTTCATTCATTATTTTGATTGTATAAAAATATATAATAATAATAAAAGGGAAGCACGGTGGCGCAGTGGTTAGCGCTTGTGCCTCACAGCAAGAAGGTCCTGCGTTAGATTCCACCTCCAGGCCTTTCTGTGTGGAGTTTGCATGTTCTCCCTGTGTCTGCGTAGGTTTCCTCCAAGTGCTACGGTTTCCCCTACGCCTAAAAACATGTGCAATAGTTCTGGCATGTGCCTCAAAAACACCAAGTTACAAAGGACTGACCTGCCGTTACACACATGCGTTATATGGAGTTGTGGCGCCCCCTGCAGGTGAAAGCCAGATCGCATCATACCTCTGAAGCTAAGCAGGGCACGGCCTGGTTAGCACTGTGATGGGAGACCTTTAGAACCACCAGGTGCCACAGTGGGACGGCTGTAAAGTGCTGAACTGTTGTTGAGCTCTTTGGCAAGACACTTCACCCACATTGACAGTCTGGTGTGTGTGTGAATGGTTGGTGATGTCACAGACTGGGTGCCTCTCTTCTGCCAGCGTGCCCCGAGGCGGCCGTGGCTAAAGGAGTGGTTTTATTCCCACTGTGTATGAAGTAATTTGGTGGAGCGTTTTTGAGTGCCTCCCAGACCTGCATCCTCCTCGTGCAGCAACCCACCTCCTCCCCATCACCACCTCATTAGTTCGGAATAGTCATGTTTTTGGTTTTTATTATCTTATTTAGACACAAAGGTACAGTTTCATGTTTTCATTACAGTTGACATAAAGTCTGTGAGGATTTTAGCTCAAGACAAAGTACAATCTGAGTTCCAACCGTTTAATGAGAGTGTGTGGGCAAAACATAATTTAATCTCTTTTTTTAATGATTAAGACTTCATAGAGGGGCGACAGTAGCTCAGTTGGTAGAGCATTGGCCTTAAGGCCAGAAGGTCGTGGGTTCAATTCCCACCTCTGCACCTTCTCCACCGACTCCCACTGATGACTGCTGTCGTTGTGTCCTTGGGCAAGACACTTAACCCCAATTTGCCCAAAATCCTCCACTGAAAGATCAAGGCTATGCTCACACTCAGAGAGCAGCCGTCCTCCTGTGGACTCACCACCTGCAGAGGGTCAGTGAGGGGCTGGTGCTATGAGACTTGGGTGGCATCTCTGACTGCCACCCCCCTGACCCAGAAATGGATTAAAGGGTAAAACATGGATGGATGGATGGACTTCATAGAATCCTGCTTTAAATGTTTGTCCTTGAACACATCAGAGGCCGCTTCACCACTGTTCTTTCACGACTCTGATGTGCGCCCCTCATTATCCTCCCTCATCTTCAAGTTCCGGAACATAAAAGAGCAAACTTTTACAATGATTTCCTCTACACGTGGGATCCAACAGAAGTCCAAAATGAAGTTACCGGTTTTTTATTGGTGCGTAATCGTATCTTTTTTGTCGACTCAAGGGCACAGCGGCGTCAGCGGTTCAAAACATTCTGTGTTTATGCTTCTTTTTATTATTGACATTAGACGTGAAGAGATTTTCAGAAATGTTGAATTGTGCTTTTTCCTCCATCCATTTTCTTCTGCTTTATCCGTTTGTTTGGACAGGGATAAAGCGACTGCACTGGAAAAGAAAAAAACCTTGAAAAACATTTGAAAATAATTAAAATTCTGCATATAAAATACAAATGATCCGTCAATAGAAGAAGAAAATCTGACTTGACAAGATTTCTGAAAATATGAAAATAATGCTAGCCCCAAACAACATGATTCTAGTTTAAAAACATATTATTTACTTATTTATTAAACATATTTCACAAATGTTTTCGTAACATTTAGCACACTTATTTTATCTGAACAATAAAGATTTTCTCGAAATAAGAAAAAAAAAATACTTAAAAACTCACTGCTCAGACGTTTTCCTCCAATAAGATGAAGAATCTTAAAACTGTTCAAATTATCTTATATGAAAAACTACATTCAAGAAAAAAAACTTGCCATTAAAAAAAATTATAATTTGTGTTAATTTTAATAATTTATTTTTACTAAGATTGTACTTTTTCAGTGTGAGATGAAACGAGCCTTTATTCGTCCCACAGTGGAGAAATGTCAGTGTTGCAATCACAAGTTACAGAACAGCAGGAGTGAGGAGCACACGGCACAAGATACATGAAAAAATAAAATATAATAAGATAATAATAAAATAACATCTCTTACTCTAGCATAAACGACACAGGATGAAATCTCTACAACCCTTCATCTGGTCGAGTGTTTTCACTCTCGGCTTTTAGTTTTGGAATTCAGGACCAGTTCAGGACCAGTCTTGAACTGCTCCTGAACTGGTTCTGAACTGGTCCTGAACTGGTCCTGGTTCTCAGCCGAGCCAAGTGCTAGTTACCATAGCAACACGCTGTTTACTTTCAGCATTTGGTAGCCTTAAAAACTGTTTTGGTTTTAGTTTACATTTTATATTATCTGCATTCAGCACTTAGTAAAATAAATAAATCAAATACTCTGGTGAAAGACTTATTTTTATCTGAATGAGTTTTATTGAGTGTTAAAGTGTCATTTAAATTACACTGTTTATATAACTTCACCTGTGTTCCTGGATGCACTAAAAGACTTTCAGAGACTTATTTTGAGAGTTTGTTTTGACCTTTTCAATTTGACAAGCTCCTGTTTTCTCTGTGGTGTAGAGTCCAAAAAACACGCCAACCTTTCCCACTGTGGTCACATGTCCCGAATCAACATGTGACAAAAACATGTGTGTTTCCTGCCTTCTCTCTGAACTCCTGACTCTGGTGGAAGTGGTTTTTCCCGTGGCTTCACTTGTTCTTGTCTTTTCTGGGTCTGCGACTCCCACTTTAAATCACACATGTCTTTGTCGTCGGTCCAAGGTTGTTGTGTGAGTTAAGACGTTTTCGTAATGAGCTCCACGTTTAATGTTTGGCTTTGATTCATGACTGACTCCCGCAGAGAGCACGGAACTCAACTAGGAAGATCTGAGAGCCCTGGACCTGCTCAAACCAAGACCATTTCACCAAAAACCAGAAGCAGTCCGGAACCATAACCATGACCAGGACCTTGGAGGAAAAAAAATAGATCACTGAACATGACTACATTTAGATCAATCAATCAATCAAATTTATTTATAAAGCACAATTCATACAGTGTAACCCAAAGTGCTTCACAAGCAATAAAAACAGTGTATATGCATATAAAATATTGTAATAAAAAGTTAAAAGTTACGAACATTTAAAAAATAAATACTTCAGATTAGTCATATGCATACCTGGATAAGACAGTTTTCAGCCGGGACTTAAATATTGCCAGGGTCGAGGCCTCTCTCACAAGCTCAGGGAGACTGTTCCAAATTCTGGCTGCATAAATTTGAAATGCCGCCTCCCCATGTCCAGTCCTGACCCTAGGCACCAGCAGGAGGCCAGTCCCTGTGCTCCTCAGTGTCCTAGCCGGCTCATATGGCGCTAATATTTCTCGAATATAGTAAGTAAGTAAGTAAGCTTTATTTATATACCGCCTTTCACAGACCAGAGTCACAAAGCGGTTTACAATTGTTATATATATATATATTTTTGGGCACTTGTCCTCTCACTCCACACAGAGAGGGGAGCGGGGTCGCCGAACAGGAGGCGCATGCCAGACCTATTGTACATATTTTTAGTGGTAGGGGAAACCGGAGTACCCGGAGGAAACCTACGCAGACACGGGGAGAACATGCAAACTCCACTCAGAAAGGCCCTGGTCCGGCCGGGATTCGAACCCAGGCCCTTCTTGCTGAGTGGCGAGAGTGCTATCCACTCAGCCACCGTGCCGCCGCTCACAGGTGTGTCCTGTGGTGCGAGGCCATGAAGAGACTTATACACAAGTAGAGCTGCTTTAAAATCAATTCTCTGAGCCACAGGAAGCCAGTGCAGAGACTTAAGAACTGGACTAATATGGTCATACTTCCTGGTTCTTGTCAGGACTGGAGCTGCTGCATTTTGAATGTACTGCAGCTGTTTTACAGCCTGTCAGACCTGTGAGCAGGCCATTGCAGTAGTCTAACCTACTGGAGACAAAAGCATGGATAAGTCTTTCTAAGTCAGGTTTAGACACAATACCTAGATTCTTAAGAACAAACTTTAATTTTTGTTATTTACACTATCTGTTGATTGATTTTGCAGCGACAATTGTTTGTACTTTTAACTTTTTGTTGAACTCTTTATTCTGAGCCATACGTAAGGGATAACGCAGGTCATTATTGGAAAATAAGTACCGATAGGGCGAAGCCCTGAAGGTACTTATTTTCCGATAATGACCTGCGTAATATACGTTATCCCGCTTATTATACGGCTTTATACCAACAGAACACACAACATAAACTTCAGTCCACTTTTAGGAATGCCGAAAGGTTTATTTAATGACAGAAAATAAAATAGTTCCCAAAGGCTTTCCCGTGGCTATGCTAGCAACAGTTAGGCTGGCAACTTCCAAACTAGAACTCTCTGGAACTGCATGAAAACTGAACAAAGAATTCTGAACATCAGCGGTGAGTGACCCAAACATAAACTTAACCTAAATCCATAATTCAATCCTCTGCAAATGTTCCTAAAATGTGCCGGTATCTACTTCCGGGTTTTTCGGGATCGCCTTTTCTCGCATTACATCAGTGTTTTTGTCATGAAAACGTAAACGGAAAATTCTGAAAACTTCCGTGCACTTGTATTAAGACTGGATATGTATAAATTACTCTCCGATTAACATTTAATTGTGTTGATTGATTGGCATTTGCGTTTATTGAGCGGCCGGAACTACTGCCGGGTTTTTCATGATTACTTTTTGACGCAGAGAAATAGTATTTTTGTCATGAAGACAAGAGCAGTAAATTCTGAAAATCTCAGTTCACGTGTGTGAAGAATTTACTTTTTATAATGTATTTTCCGATTAACATTTAATGGCGTTGATTGATTGGTATTTGCGTCTAATGAGCGTGGCTAGCTCCGGAGTGGCCGGAACTACCCGCAGAGTTATCCACGCATCTGAAATAGTGCGTTGCCAAAGGGCAGCATTATTGTTTTGAGAGGTCCGTTATAGAAAATAATGACCGGTAGAACGTTTTGAAATTACATTCAAATCAATGGAGCATTCGACTGCTGCTGTGAGGAGCTGTGTAATAAAAAATTATTACATTGTGCGCCATACAGAAAGCACTGTACCCACACTGCAAAAAGTGGCTCAAAAAACGGAGAAAAAATAGCTATTATCATAAAAAAAATTATTTGTTTCCAGTGGATTATGATTTTTTCACTGGGATTTCTTAACTGGGTTTTTTTACAACCGTGGGATGACAATGGCAAAACAGGAAGTGAAGGAACACACAGGGCTTGACTCAAAGACTAATGAGACACAGGCCCAGTCCCAATACTCGCACTTCCACCTCGTGCCCCTCATTTGCACGTTCCCGATGCTGGGTGCGAGTGCGTAGGGTACAGACCCAATCCTCCAGGGAGGTCTTGAATAAAAGCATTACTACTACTACTACTGCATTATTACATATCTGATAATTCTGCCTTTCATCAGTCAATTTACCTGTTGATATTATTTTTGATGTTTATTCTGCTCATATTCTCATATTCTCCGCTGCTAATGTATAATATAGACATCTGTAAATACTCCGAACCAAGTGCAATTATAGCCCTGAGTTTATCTACTTTTATTTTATTGTCTATTATCTTAAATAACAGACTTATTTGATGTGTGCATCTGAGTGCTCTTATTTCCTTTCTCTGCTGTAATGTGCAACGATGGCACTGACATTTCTCCTCTCAATTCCGCCTTTTTTGCTGTAACCTGTCACTCAAACCCTTGCGTGCACTTCAAACAAATGCACACTTCGTAAAGGAGTGTAGGGTGCAGTGTGGGTCTTGGGATTGGGCCACAGGTGAGACACATGAGGGCGGGGCTGGTAAACAAGAAGTACAACTCAAGACACAGGGGCTAACAAACTACAAAATAAAACCGGAAATAAATCTAAACCATGACACATTATTATCATTATTTTAAGTTTGGCTCATAAAAATGTGGGACTAAGAATATGTATGTGCTCCCACCCCCTGTTCTTGCGTCTCTTTACCTAGCTTAGTTTCTGACCCTAACCATCTGTGTTTGTGTCTCTCTCTGTCTCTCTATCTCTCTCTCTCTCTCTCTGTCTCTGTATCTCTCTCTCTCCTTCTGTCTCTCTCTGTCTCTCTCTGTCTCTCTGCGTCTCTCTCTCTCTCTCCTTCTGTCTCTCTGTCTCTGTCTCTCTCCTTCTGTCTCTCTCTCTCTGTCTCTCTCTGTCTCTCTGTGTCTCGCTCTCTCTCTCCTTCTGTCTCTCTCTCTCTGTCTCTCTCTGTCTCTCTGTGTCTCGCTCTCTCTCTCCTTCTGTCTCTCTCTGTCTCTCTGTCTCTCTCTGTCTCTCTGCGTCTCGCTCTCTCTCTCCTTCTGTCTCTCTGCGTCTCTCCTTTTGTCTCTCTGCGTCTCTCTCTCTCCTTCTGTCTCTCTCTCTCTCTCTCTCGCTCTCCCTCCCTCCCTCTCTCTCTCTCTCGCTCTCCCTCGCTCTCTCTCTCTGTATTTGCCAACATCACAACAGTAGTTATCTTGGCGGACTTTCCAAAGCTGTTGATTCGCTGACAGAGATCAGAGAATCAAACACAGGAAATGCATTGATAAAAACACACAGAGCCATTGTCCTTAAATGTCATTGTATTTCGAGTGTCCTGGATCGGCCAGTTAGGGTCTCTCGCTCTCCCCCCTCCCTCTCTCTCTCCCCCCTCCCTCCCTCCCCCTCTCCCTCCCTCCCCCTCTCCCCCTGTGTTGGTCTGGCGTGACAGCGTGGCTCATTATTGCCTACAGCGCCCCCGCAGCGAGGGGCAGGTGTTGCAGGAGCCGTCAGACTCTGGGAACGAGGAGCAGAGAAAACCTGAAGTCTTTATCGCACCAAAGTCCTAACACGTCCGAGGTGTTACATTATAAACGTCCCCACTCTCACAGGACAGACGAGAAGAGGACACACCACAAAATGAAACACACACACACACTGACACAGACACACACACTCGCACACACACACACACCTGGATCAGTGTCTATCGTACATCTTTATTCTACCTTCTGTTTAAACGATGTCCACATCTCAGACGCATGAATATGGCGCCACCTGCAGCTGAAAGCCAAATCCTGTCAGATTTCTGAAGCTAAGCACGACAGGACCTGGTTAGTAATGGGATGGGAGACCTTTGGGAACACCAGGCGCCAGAGCGGGGCGGCTGCAGCTGTAAAGTGGCAAACGGCAAGTGTGTCCTAGAATGAGTCTGGTGTGTGTGTGAATGGTTGGTGGTGGTGGGAGGGGCTGATGGCACAGACTGGTAAAGACACAGGTACATATAGACACAGAGACACAGGTACATATAGACAGAGAGACACAGGTACATATAGACAGAGAGACACAGGTACATATAGACACAGAGACACAGGTACATATAGACAGAGAGACACAGGTACATATAGACACAGAGACACAGGTACATATAGACAGAGAGACACAGGTACATATAGACACAGAGACACAGGTACATATAGACACACAGAGACACAGGTACATATAGACACACAGAGACACAGGTACATATAGACACAGGTAAAACACTTGAGGGCAGACTATCAACAGGAAACAGGAAGTAAAACTAAAATAGAATCAAAGAGAAATAACGTCAAAATAAAACTTTACCTCATGTCACTTTACTTATATACTTTTTATCGTGCACTATTTAACTGTACAGTATATAACTGCACTGCTACATATATATTTTTTGACTGGTATTGAAGCATTTTCAGCATCTACAGCTAGTTATTTTAGTTAAGAAACATAGCTACTACTTATTTGTATATAGTGTATATAATGTGTGTGCTCCCTGTGTGTTCTTACTACTGTCCTGTCTGTGCGCTGCAACATCAAAATTTCCCCACTGTGGGACGAATAAAGGAATTCTTATCTTATCTTATCTTATCTTATCTTAATCCATTTCTGGGTAGG